TATGTATTTCAATTTAAATCAAAAAATATTATAGAATTTTTCCGATTGTCTCAGGCGAAGAAAAATCTAGTATGACTAACTAAGTATGAATTTTATCCAAGTTGGCCACGACGACAAAAAGCATCTATCTTCAATTTTACAATTGTTTTCGTCTGTTGAAAATAATAATCATTATATATAATAATGTGACAGTGATTGTTAAATCATGAAGTTTGAATTTGGGCTTTGTATTTTTATTTTGTTACTCATTAAATTTTTATTTAAATTAGATTAACAAGACTACTATCACAGATTATGTTATAACTATAATAGAATAAAAATCGTAATAAATCCGCTCCACGTCTTTTCTTGTTCCGGGGCCATGGCTATAGGGGATGCAGAAACCTTGACGGGTCAATGAAAATGATATCGCGGCTGACATAGGAATACACTTAATGCTTCTCTATTCGCGATATCTTCTGGCGAAATGATCAATCATGTTCAATGGAGACAGTTCTTTGGGTTTTGTATCTTCGTAATTAACGATTACTTTTTCCATAAAACATATATTATTTATGACTTTGAAGTCATGTTGACTACTGTTGATGTTAATGAGAGACTAAAGAGAAATAAATTCTATATTTGGTGTTCATAGATAAACAGCAAATATAGAATTTCAAATTGGAATTGGTAAGCATCGTCTGTAGTTTACGTGAGTAGTGTAAATTTAAAATAAAATAAATTTAACGGCTTAAAACCCGAAATATATTATTTAGGTACTCTAGCTTAACATTCAGTTTCCCTGTTATCACGGCAAAGCAGTTGATACGTCGGCTCCTAATTAAAATAAATGAATATCTTACGCGTTTTGTAACCTTTAAAGTGAAGTAAGATGTGGGAAAGCAGAATAAATAGTTACGTACGGAGAGTGGAAGAGAGCAGATTACTTATTTCTGTTTTAATAACATCGCTTGATAAAAAGGTAAAAAAGAAATAGCCCAGACTGTTTTTAGAAAGAAATAAAGTGCACTGTGCTAGTCTATATAAAGAAAGTTAAAACCGATTGAGTTTGAATTAATGGAGTGTGTTTTTACTAAAGCTAGTGCTCAAAACTGACTATAAGTAACGGTCAGTTGTTATACATTTTTCCAATAAAAAGTCACTACAAACTTTCCCCATTATCACATACAGAATGATTATTTGTTGCCCTTGTAATATTCGTATTTAATAATCGATGTTTGAAAAAAAATCGACACGGAGAGGACATAACCCGACATCCACAGCATTACGTGACGTTGCTCTAATGAATTTTTTATTTATAAAACAACGTATTTAAAAAAAAATATCTTGATTAAGATATACAGTGTACCCGTATACCACTTGATTTAGTAACAAAAAAGTATTTAAGTTTATTTCCGATTTTTAAATAATATAATATCCTTATTACAAATAAATTACTGGAGCAAAAAATATATATACATACATAACTCACAATTTGTAATAACTTTTAAATGAAGAATGAACTTTCATGTAATTAATTAGAAATAAACTTTTTCTATTTTACTTATCGTTAAAATTATTATTTTCTTATCCACTTCCACTTTTCTTTCAGAGCTTTTAGTATAAAGTTCATTTATGGTTTTCAGTTATAACGAATAATTTGTACGTCTAGATTTAATAGAGAGACGTAAATAGAGTTAAAACGTCCGCATTCGAGAAATTTCGGTGAGAACGAGTTACCTAGGTATCAGTCGTCAATAACCATCAGCAGTGTGAAGAGTACATTCAGAGCACAACGTTGACTAACGACCTGCCAATCAGGCCCTAGCTTAATTGGAAATCCGTGTTTGCGAAACCACTCCCCGGGCGCTGAGGCTTTTGTTGCTAAAAATTAAACTTTACAAAGCTTGTTTGCACTTTGATTATTCGTTATAACGGTAGTACTGAGAAGACTTATCAAACTGTTTACTATATACTAGTGAAATTAACCCGAAACTATTATAAATATCGATCTTTATAACTACATTATTTAAATTAAACACTTTAACGGTTTAAAACGCGATATATTAGTTAAACTTATTCAGAAAAGATTTTTTACTTCGGCCCGACGTTTCGGATGCTTTGCAGCAGCCGTGGTCACGGGGTGACTTCGTCCGGAGACTTAAACCGTTAAAGTGTTTCATTTAAATGTGTAGTATTCGCGTAAACTATAGACAGTATTTAACTAAATTATTATCAAACGAAACTTGGAAAAAACAGTTTCTCCCATAAATGCTTTAGTTCATAACTTGTGGTAAAAACTGGCCCATGATGCTACTATATAAATGAAAAATTGATTTTACATTGAAAAAAGTTCAACAGCATGCCCGTTCAAGTCCTGTCCGTGTCGAAAAATTGTGAAATCTAAAAACAATTTTTAATTTCAAGTAAGTAAACATAAATTTCGAAATCTTGTTCTACGTTTTAATTTAAAGGTAATCTTATAATAGTGCACTTACTTATATGAATAAATTAGATGAATAGGGAATTATATATTTAACACATTATATAGGTACAAATATTAAGCATTTTTTACATTACAGTTAGGCGGTAATTTTCGTGCTTCACGAGTGTTTGATTCTAGGAAATAATGATAGATTCGGTTAGGCGCGGCACAGTCTGATTTGCCTTGTAAATAAAGCGATCAGGAAAAAAAGACACAGAGATCCCTCCAATATTAAGGATGGGATTTCGAACTAATAATAAAAAAAAACTTTTTGTTATAAACATATTATGAAGATGTATGTACGACATGTTATTGGAATTGTTGAAAAGTGCATGCGTCAAGTGTGTATGGTAATTTCCACGACACGAATGCTTGTCAAACTCGCTCACTGTTAATGTCTTTTGGACGTTGTCTTAGAGAGGATAAGACAAATATAACGTAAAGGGGAGATACGTTTAAGTAATTTTTGAGAAGGACAGATAGAAGGGTCACGAAAAATAGGAAATTTCCCAACCCAATGAAGTTATAGATTTATAAATGAACTAAAACTCTAAACTATTTATATTTCAAAATTATAATCACAGAATAGATACCGAAAAAAAGTGATTATGTACCTGTATATATTTTTGACATTTCTATCATCCCAAAGACATACTTAACCATTAATATATGTAAAAAAAAGGCAAGTTAACTTATACCGCCGGTCTCGTCGTTATATAGAAACCGGACATGTCCACACTTTCCTAACGTATACACATCTCGCCTTCCTTGTTTGGGGATATTAAAAAATTGTTCCGGCTAGCGTGTCTAATCTACCACAGCCGGTGCTGCTGCTCGAATATATGCGGCCACTGAGAATATTTGTGAAAACAGCCACTAGAATGTGATTAGTATTAAGTGTTGGTAAATGTTTTGGATTTTTATTAAAATACTGTTTTGGCAATACGATGTCACGTCAACACTTAAAAGTACCAATATTTAATTCAATTACAGTGTAAACTCTATATAGCGACACTGAAGGGACTGTGCATTTATGGCGTTATAGAGAGTTGTCGTTAAATGGAGAGAAGAAACATTGTATGAAAAACAAGCTAAACCAACCAAAGCCAATTAATTTCGACGCTTAAGAGAGTTTGTCGTTAAATAGAGTGACGTTACATGGAGTTTACACTGTATTTTAAATAAAAATTGCAACAAATATTAAAAATTAATAATATGTACAATATAAAGAAATCATTTAGTGATCCATATTTAATTCTTATTATTTCATACCAATTTTATTCGACAATCAGAATTATGTTAAAAATAACTAAATATATTATAGACAATTACCACCACATGTTTATTACAACATTTTCATTTTTTTTTTCTTTTAATTCTCAGTGTCAAAGACGGACTCTAGAAGAATATAAAATTAAATTTCAGAGAGAACCATAACTTAAGAATACTTAACAATGTAGATCTTCTTCTAATAATATTAATGTATTCACAATTGCTCGTATCACGCCTAGCGCCATCTGTGCAAAGGTTTACACTTCTCCAGGGACCAAAAATAACTGCACAACGCCATCTGGCTTTGATGCAGTGAACTGAATTCATCCCTCATTTTCCAAGGGTTGCAAATGAAAAACTGCAATGCAGCGCCACTCGCAAAATACTTCTAGATAATTCTAGTAAGTTTAACGATAAAAATATAATTAGAATTATATACCATTCTAATACGTTTGTGCAAACAACAAACTTTACTTTTCTATGAAAAAAATTATAAATTTATTTTGAATAATTTCACTGCCACAACATTAATAATATTTTTGTAGATAAGTATACCAACAAGATGTCCTTGAAATGTCCACCGGTAAATATATAAAGCTAAAACTATTATATTTCAGGAACAATGATACTATTAGACGTCTAAAATACCTCGCATCTTCAATAACGCTTCGTGTCTTGAATTTTAATCTGTATGATGTAAGAAAGTTTTTGTTCGAGAAAATGGCGAGAAGAGTGAAGTTTTAGAGTTTTAATAGCTTGTAATGTACGAGATTTACGGCTGTAACGAGCTATCGTTAACAGAAACACGTTCGTCCTTGCCGATTGTTTGAAAACTTAATTATTGCCATATTAGGAAAAATTCTCACTGGAATTTAGATGTTATCTTTGTTATTAGCCGCTACAGGACGGATTTTATATTTCAATTGGGAATATTTAAAATCACTTAAAGATTAATTTGATTAAGAACTTATTGAGCTTACTAAGGAGTGTATGTTATTTTTTGTTTACGCTGTTTAGGTTACGGTACATTAAGTTACATTACATAAAACATATAACACATAACAATAATCAAATATACGTATATATGAATCAAGTTAAGAAGCTTCCATTTTTTTATTGGTTAAATATTATATAGAAGGCACAGTTCCGATTACTAAGATTGTCATTACAATATTGCAACCGATATATGATTATTTATTGATGATAAGAGAAACGTCGTATTGGCAGTTCAATAAGAATCAACTAAGCCCCAACCAGGAAGGGAATGATGAAGATACCCTATAGGTGTGAGAAATTAAAAGCTCAAGAGAGGCCGGTACACCACAAATCGCTTAGTGCTTTCCCTCCCGTCCTAATGGCACGCCAATTAAAAGTTTGCTCGCTCACTCCCAAGGCGAGGATTGTTCCAACTGTAAAACTGAACATCCGAGCATCTGAACATAATGTAGTTTATTTGAGCTCGAGCGCAGTTTGCCGACGATTAGCATTTTGATGTCGCGCCAACGAATCGCCAATCAGGGTAACGTATTGGCTGTGGAAATATAGAATTTCATAAAGAGCGTTTAGTGGGCACCTTACAAGTGGTATCATTCAGTTGACTACATAATTTTTTTTAGATATTTTGGATATACGAAAATCCACTGACTATAATCAAAACAAGATTAGACTTAACAGCTTTTTTCTCTGTTTTTTTATCTGTGGATGGTAGATCCCGGACAGATTCCTGATATTCCTACCACCTATTAATTATTTACAATTCTCGAACGTATTTATGAAAAATTATAAATTGATTAGAAAAATCATTATTGGACCCGGTGGGAACTACACCCACGGCCCGTTGACGATTAGCCATACATACCTACTATTACACTAACAAAATTTATCATTAGTTGTATGAACCCGAAATATATACACAGAACTTTTTGAGTTTTTCACTTATTTATTGAAATAATTCACGAACAAGTAACACTACAAGAAAAATATCCAACAAATATACACCATTGATATTACTTCAAATTTATACAAAGAAGATAAATAGATATTTTTAAGCACCGCGATAGCTACGGTGCTACGGCGTAGCAAACTATATCGGCCTGTTGCTTAGAAGTGTCATTAGTATATTCTTAGCCGTAACTAAAACCGGTTATTCGGCTTTAAGGATAAGGCGATACATTTGACATGCTACTAATAATGTACTATTCAATAAAGACTAGTAATGTAATATAAAATAAAGTTATTCTGGACGACTTGACGCTTGTTAATTGAAAAAGAAAGTACAACTTAGGTAATTTTACACCAAAATAAAATAATATTTTATTTTTAAAAGTGTGAAAAATAGTGAAAATAATTTCAATGTTTTCCGGAATCATCGCCTAACAAGAAAATCATAGTAAATATGGCTTCGGCGCACTTTGAAACGGACGCTTCATCTTAATAAGACTATTTTGTCTAGATATTGTAATAACTGTTCAAGCTTATTAGAATGTTTTACATTGCGTAACCATATTGGTTTTTCCATCTAACATGATGGAAAATCCAACATGGTTACGCTCGTGATTCGAATTCGAATGATCATGATTATGAATGTAACGAATCATATAAGAGTTATCGTTAACGATATAATTAGAATTTGTTTGCTAAGTGACTATCCTTTTCTTAAAATTTGGGACAAAAATTTTGTAAACTAATTCAACAATTAAATATTTAGACTAGTAATTGTAATGTAACAGAAGTATTTTTTACTAAAATAAAATATGTTTACCTACATATAATTATCATTTGAAAGTAACTTTGATCTAGCACGTTAGCATAGTTATTGGCTGCCTTTTAAAAATATAAATCAGACAAACGGGCACAATAAAATGTCCGCCCTATGCTACATATGATAACGTTTACATCAGATTTAGGATACTCAGGTATTGTATTATTTTATTACAGCTTTGAAACATTCTTTGATAAATGCCAGAAAAATAAATACTAAACTGAACTTATTCCAGTATGAAATAAAGCACTTAGCAAGACAGGACTTCAACCCTTCATTTCCGCGGGTCTGCTAAAGCTAAGTGGATTTTCGGGTAACGCAGTATTTCGTTAACAACCCAGCTTGACAGTTTGTTAGCGGTTAAATTAAACCTTTTACATATCTTTGATAAAACTTTTAACGCGAAATATCGTCGGGTCGTTTAACAATTTTTTTTTCAGATAGAGACACTTCTTACTGAAAGCCCAATATGAAACAGAAAACATTTTTAATAACATAATATAATACAATACAAAAAAAACAAGATCTAATTAATTATTAAAGCTGATTTGTCTACGTTTTAAGTAGTTATAGAGTATAGACGAAGACAAACCAGAAAAAAAAATTCCATAAATATCACCATCGCATAAACTCCGAAAATTTAGGCTTCATAATAATATTATCAGTTCTTTCAAGATACGATTGTCCTGCTCATAAATTATTATTTTTTAATTATTTTAAAATGTGATAGTGGTCGACCCATATAGTTTTATGTTACCGTAAAACCTCACGCTAATGACTTTTAGGTAACGACCATTGGTTCCCACTAATGGTGCGTGGTTCAACCCACTTTTTTATCAAACCAATTTGGTAATTTTCCTCCTTCACGGTACTACTGGGTGTAGGAAATGGGGAATTAACGAGCGATGGTGGAGATTATAATGCATTTGGTGAAATTAAAATATCCATGTAGGTACATTTTTTTGGTATCAAGCACAGTATAATTACTGTTGGATGAATAATTAAAAGAATAGAAGATAATTTTATTAATGTATTCAGGTATGGAAAACTTAGAACTAATACAATAGGATAGTCGATAAATTAGATATCAGAAATCCAATTAAAAATGTTCACTATTAGATACGAAATATATAAAAATACAAAAATAAGAACTGACTGACTTTTTATTATTAACTGCATTGAGAGCTAGCGTATCCTCGAACTAAACACATTTGAAAAAATGTGAAATAAGATTATTTTTGCTAAGGGCACTCTTAAAATAGTAACGTGAGTTACGCCTAAGTAACGATATTTTATTTTGGATTATGTATGACGTTAAAATATTTTTATTTTCAATGTTTTTATACAAAACATTTTTTCTAGTTATCTTAGCCGAACATTTAAACTCGCCTTAAAGTATGTATTACCTTTTTAGCTTTTTGAGATTAAATAAAAAAAACCATGGCCAGAAATTCGTGATTAAGCTCGAGGCAATTGCAAAATCTAAACTGAATTCATGCACTAAATCCATTTAAAGTAGATCGAATTCTCCACAGATAAAATCGAAAGCGTACCATCGCCCATTGCTACCTTAAGCCCAAGTTTTTTTAAAAAGCATTTGCTTAAAAGTCATTGCGATTGGACACGCATGCGCAGCGATTAGTTACAGTCACCCGTTCAGGCTACCTTTCTAATGTACATTTGTAATTGAACTATTTTTATATGGTTTTAATTAAGTAGTTATTATTACACAGCTTTATAATAAACTTACAAAAGTTACTAAAATACAAACCGTACGATATTTATATTATATTATTTGTGGGGTATTGAAAAAAGCCATTTAAGAATTAGTCAACCAATAAACAACAAGAAACAAATGAAGTTACGAGAACACATTTAAATAAAACACTAACGGTTTAAAAGAATATTAGTTAAACTTATTTGAAAATGATTTTTAAACTTCGGCCCGACGTGTCCCCCCCTCCCCCCCCCCTGACCACGGCTGCTGCAAAGCATCCGAAATAAGTTTAACTAATATCGCGTTTTAAACCGATAGAGTGTTTTATTTAAAGAGACAAATTAACTTTTTATTCCCTATAAGGAGAATTTAATTAATTTAAATAAGGTTACCTTTATATTTTTGACTAAAAGTGGACAAGAATACTGTAGTTTTTCGGATTTTTTTTTTGTTTTTCGTTGCTAACTGTATATTATTATAATATAACACTCGTTCACAAACCAACAAATATATGAGCCAACTGTTCTGGCGCCGTAACGCGTTACATAACGAATGTCACTTAAAAAGTCATAATGAAAAGCCGTAAGCAGATGATATGAGCAACGCATACATTTACATTAAGTCATAAAACGTGTAATGCGGCTCCGAGATTTCATTTCCCAGTCATTTGTTTATTTCGTTACGTGAACTCGAGTTTAAACTTAAAACTGTACGCCCGTTTTCTCTTCACTACGGGGATATGTTTCATTTGTCAAAGAATGGTTTATAATAGGAGGTTTATTTTATAATTTTCCTGAACCTATTGAACTCAAATTTATACTAATATATAAAGCTGAAGAGTTTGTTTGTTTGAACGTAATAATCTCAGAAACTACGGTTGAGAATTTAAATTACTTTAATTGTCTACGCGCCAGTTAGAGCAATCATCGAGGATAGGATAGGCTATAAAAGATCAAGCTGCGACTAATAAGAAAAATGTTTCCTAAAGAGAAATTCTAAATTATCAAACATGTCCCCGAATTTATGTGTCTATCTTTAAAGATTAGCTTGCAAGAACCAAGATGGCTAGGAGGTTTGCAAAAACAAATGTATGTGCCCAACATTACTATTCTACGCAGGAAGTCGCTGACACAGCTAGTCTCGGATGTAAACGCTTTTTGCTCAAAATGCGTAATTCCGGCTAGTTTAAAAAGTTCTTTCAAAAGGAGCGAATCTATAAATTAGCAATACCAGCACACTTATTTCTAAGTTACATAGTTTGTTAATATATCTTTATATACATGTAAGAAATGTTATTGACACTTGAGTTCTTAACAATGTTTGTTAAGCGAGCAAAGCCTATATATGTAAGTTACTTTGCACAACGGCTATTATTTTTAACAGTGTAAAGTTTAGATTTTTAGAGTCTATAGGCAAAGTACATATTCGTATCCAGTAGACTAGATATATACTACGAGCTATTAAGAAGGCGTGTTTAAATATAATCCAGTGGTTCTCAAAGCGTATCCATATTTTTATTCTTTGCCTCAATACATCAACGTTTACCCACGGCCCTGATGAGAAGATGATGACGGTAATTTGCGACGCACCAAGACGTCTATGTCTTCGCTTTTTTCAGCACAGGTATCATATGAGGACGAAATTACGAGTAATTTGTCGCTCTTCTATGAAATGAGGAGTGCAAACATCTTAAAGTTTACGAAGTAAAATTATTCTTTTAAAAACGTAGCTCGACGTTGGAAATCTAAGGATTCGCTATGAAACCAAAAGATCAAATAGATGGCAAACTACTATATGTTTCAGGCTATAAACAGACATAAAAATGCCTCAGCCACAAACATCTAAGCAGACTGCCGACCGATTTCGGGGTTTGTACATTCAAAATCCACTATCAGACATCAAAACGAAAGTAAGCATCACGACATTTTTTATTTGTGGACAGTTGGTGGACCCGGATGGAATTTTCATGTTTCTGGCACCCATTCAATGTCCAGATTTCCAGGCGAAGTCCAAC